GATTTGATCTGGCTTCAGGGAGGTATAACTGAATGATGAACCTGACGATACAATAGGAAACTGTCTAGAAGTATATTTAAAACTGAGGACAGGGGGTACTTCATTACATGAGGCTTGTGGGAATATGGAACAAGACACCCAGCCATGATCTTGAAATAGATTCCTTGGCTTCTTTCAAGAAGTGGCTATGTTCCCAGCCAGGACTGAGGCACATTTTGTCTTCTGTCACCACATCATTTTCTTGTAGGTATGAACTTTTCATCACATCATTTAATCTGCAGCGCAGAAGTGTTTTGGCCTTGCATATTTTAACCAAATTCACCAGTGTGCGGAGCCAGCATGAAAACTTTAGTTGTAAGAGCAAGTTAAAGAGCATTACATTATTTCAGATGGTCCTGTTGGAAGAAAGCCTTTTTATTTCAAAATGCTTCAGTGACTGAAACTAAAGTCTGTGGCATATGAATCTTTGCATTAGCAATGTAGCTGGGGCTGACTCAGGTCAATTCTAAGTAAATGCTTGTTCTTCTCCAGACTCTCCTGACATGTCAGAGAGTACAAGTCAAGCACTGACCCTTCTCACCCAGCGCTGCAGTGGATGGGGATTTAGTCTTTATAAGGATAAAAAAAACACTGTCATGTAATCTATAGTGAGATTAAAGGACAGGTAGAGAAACCAAAGCAGACTTCATAAGCATGAGAAGTTCTGATTCATTCCATCTCCTGCTAGGGATGCCACCTGGCACAGCACTTCCTGAGCGGTGTCAGACAGTCGTCTGTAATAAAACTGGAAACAACCATCATGCATTCAACAATGACGCAGACTGAAGAAAACATTTGGAATGCTTTGCTCTTTGGCAACACAGCTTTTAAGATTCTTTCCACAACCCAAGATCCACCCACTGATCCTCGCTTCGTAATTTGAAAGCTGTTGATATAACACATGGATAGCTGTGAAAGAAACGGCTTTCAATTAAAAATGTTCCAGGTTAACGTATGCTTTATATTTTTCTGAAAACATCTTTACTAAGAGCACTGCAAGACATCTGATCCATGTTGAAGCATACAAAAACAAAAGATACACTGTCCACAGCACTGTGCTATTACCTGCTCTTTCTGAATGATTCACTTGTAGAGGATGACCTTTTGAAAGCACCCAGGGCAAGATTCCTTTTCAGATTAAAGACCTGCTGTTTCTGGAAATTAATCAAGTTTGGTGTTTTTCCATGATTCATATTTTCCTTGAGGGGCTCAATTCCTGAAAATTTCGGAAAGAAAGGGAAAAGTGGACAGAGGGGCGAGCAAGATTCAGCTGCATAGAACTGTCTTCTCTGCTAGAGTGCCATCTCTTTTTTTGTGTCACATGAGAATAATGCAGGGCTTGTACTGTATGGTGCATTAAGAACTAGGAGAGACACAATCACTGGCTTCTAAAAGGATTGTATTCCTGCGTGATGGATTTTTACAGTAATCTCCTAGAAACTTGCTTAGTGTTCCAGCAAGCAACAAGCTCAGTCTGTGCCAATTTAGTCAGGAAATTCACCCGTCGCAATGGGATCGATCAGGCAGACATGAATTGCTGAAAGCCAGGAACTATGATCAGGAACATCCAGAAATGTAATTGTGAATTTGATGCTGTATTGCTGTGTCTCTTGCTTTCTCCATGCATCTGTTTTTACATCAAATCTTGTTAATTAAGTACTATGAAGGGATCAGGTGATAGTCCCGCAGTGTGAAGAGTTGCATTGCGGACTTATGAGATGAAAGCCTACTTCACCCTGACTTTCCAGATAAACTCACTTATCCTTGATTACAGTTCAGCACAATCCAGCAGTATTTGACACACTGTAGAGGCTGTAATGTAAGGCTATCAGTTGGTGAGGTGGGAGGCAGCAGAATGGAACTGTACACAGAGTGCACATTGTTGGCTTTTGGTTACAGTAGCACTTTTGTTACTGTCATCTTTATTTGTTTAATGAATCCCAAAACTAAAGCTAAACAATAGCTTACGAGAGCCATTAATAACTGCCATCACTATGCATGAATTATAAATGAGGCAGGCTGAGCAACCGCTCTGGAAGCTAGACCGTTTTTCCCCGCTCACTAATAAATAAAGATCAGTCAATATCTGGGCAGGAGCCAGCTGTTACCACACACTGTGTCACTGGTATTCAGGGCTTCAGGAAAATGCTAATTACTCAAGAAATACTGATATTGGGACTTTAATAAAGTAAACTAAGGGCAGACAGAATTTCTAAAATGATGTGTTTCTTGCTGTGTGCAGTGTGTTTTTATTTCCAGGAATAAACCTGTTGTAACCAAGCAAACACCACTGGATATCTGTGTCAAAATAACCTATTATGTTGAAACTGATGGCGTCCATGCAAGCTTTCATAATCGGCATGTGTATGTGTGTGCTCCACAGTTACCTGATTAGGATAATAGACATACTGTATTATACATATTCATTCATAATATACATATTAACCTGCGTTTTCATTTATATTTATAGGAACTTGAATATACTTCACTCTTTATCACATATTCAACTGGTATGTTGTGACATTTAGTCAGAAAACAGATGAATTTATAGTTGTTAAAATGAAACCAAATAATCTCATTTAACACGATGTCTCCCAAGGCCTTAGATTATTAGGGAAGGTCTCTTTAAGGACTGCGGCAGTGGCGGCTGAGTCAAGAGGATTTTAAACAGAAGTTTAAACTTTACTCCAACTAAAAACATCAGCCTTGTAACTCAATAAAAACAAAATCATTTTAAAACTTTCTTTTTATGATGACCAAATAATATAAACAGCTAACAACAATGGTGGAATTCAGTATCATGTTTGCTGCTTTGTTCAAAAGTGACTGTATCTGTGGATGATATTAACAGGGCTGTGACTGTAACCACGGTGATATTATGAGGCTTCCAATTCTGGCTGGGTCAGTTGAATTTTATGATGTTAAGCAGAGCTTGAAATCAACAGGATTGATTACTACTGTATTTTTCATCCTAAACTATATTTTTTGTCAATGTTTGGAGATCAGATTTGTATCTGCTCCCAGTGTCTGTATTTCATTGCTGGAGGCACATTGCATGAATTTTCTAGTCAAATTATTTATTTAATGAATCTCCCTTCGATATCTGGTGCTGTCATGTTATCTTCTCCCTTTGTGTGCTGCATTTTCTGTCTCTGCAGTCATTTGTCATTCTACTTACCCAGATGTTGCAACAGTGGTTTGCGTGGTGTACTGTAGATAGTGTAGCATGGTTTGTCAAGCAGGGCAGACACTTCTTGCCAGTTGTTGTTTGTTGTGTGTGTGTTTGTGTGCCTCTCTGCATGGACGTAAATTTGCATGCTGCTGCATGTGTTTGTGTATCTGTGCAGAATGAGGACTGAGCTCTATTCTGTCTATAGACAAATGAGCCTATTGCCTGCAAGCAGAAAGAAACAGCAGTGTATTTTTATTGACTGCACTTTAATCTCTTGTCCTGACATCTCTGTAGAGCTCTCCTGCATGACCTAAATATTAACCTCGACCTAATTATTAACATCAGACACTATTTTGTGAAATCAGTTAACTTAAACAAAAAGACTTGTTGATTTGTTGATATCAGATGCTCACATTTCATATTGAAAGCAGGCTAAAGTTTTATTTCCGAGCACTGTAACATGGACTACAAGGAATGCAGCAGCTTTATTACATTCTGTGGTCTTTAACAATCAAAAGGTCATTCTACTGGTTAAATTATTTAATAAATGCAATGCAAGAAGCAAATACTGTTGATAAATATTGTTCTGCAGACATTCCTTTCCTTGGCAATAACTGTCTCCTTACTGTGCGTCCTTTTTTTTTGAATGACAGCTTCAGGTTTTCTCCAACATTTATTGAAGAGACGTCATGTTGTTGAAATAGCTGTGACTCAGACACAGTGGCAGATAGTTGAGAGCTCTGTGCCAAAAATAGGAAACCCAACCAAAAAGCTTTTAATGGACGTACTGCTGTGGTGGGCCTGGGGCCGGGCTGTGAGACGGAAAGGCAGTTCTGGATTAGTGCAAATCTGTCCCTGTGGGCTCTCTCGCTCTAATAAAAGAGCACCTGAACAAGACAAAATCTCAAAAGCAACTTCACATTCTCTCAGCTGTTCTGGGTTCAGTCTCATAAGTCGTATCAATTTCATTCTGTACAGGCTTTCACAGACTGAGCAAACAAATAAAAACAAATTCAGTTAGTTCATGTATTTTCTTCTATGGAGGCAAAATGGTAGCTCAGTGATTAAAAAGCTGCCTCACGTCACTGGAGCCCTATGTTACTGGGGTGCTATCTGTGTGCTGTTTGTATGTTCTCCTGGTGATCATGTGAGTTTCCTCCAGGTACTCCAGCTCCCTCACACAATCTAAAGGCATACTGGTAGGTTAAAGGCTTCTGGGAAAATTGGCCCCAGTCTGTGTCGGTCCTGTAATAGACTGGGATCCCATCCAGGGCGTATCCTGCCTTGTGCCTGTTGCTTTCCAGGTTAGGCTCTGGCTCCTCTGTGACCCTATATTGGATAAACTGATTAGAAAGTGGAGGCATATTTGCATCTCTTGTTTGCCTGTGAGCAGCAGAAAACGCCACAGTGTGGAAACTGAGGGGGCTTTTCTTGACGTAGCAGATTGTGCCTCTGGAGCAGTCAGTGTGAACTGCAACCTAGTTTCTCTAAGATTACCTTAATCTCAGTCCTCAGGATAACATCTTCAGAATTTTGACCTTTTCCAAGTTCCCAAAAATAATTTCAGCAAAAAGTGTTGTTTTCTGTTATATACTGTTGGGACACAATCAGCCTAGCTGATCTGGATCACAGACACATGGTGTTTCCCAAGAAATGACCAGCAATGAAAGTTTTGAACTAAGGGACGAGGTGCTGATGGACCACTTTTGGGTTCACAAGGATGGACAGAGAAGGACACTGTCTCAATGGTCCTGAGATCTGAAGCCCCTTTCCCCTTGTATCTCTCCAGCAGTAATCCCGGATGGAGCCTCTGACAGGACTGGGCTAGGCGATGATGTGGGCAGCGAGGAGGACCTGTACGAAGACTTCTGCAGCTCCAATCATCGTTTTGGACACCCAGGGGGGGGCGGCGAGCAGCTGGCGATAAATGAGGTATGGCAAAAGTCGACCCTGTGCCCCAGACTTCAGGCATTTCACCCTTGCATTCATCCCGGCTGGACAAACCAGAATCCGAAACAAACGCGTGGTTTGTCCAGCTCTCCAGCTCTCCAGGGTTAAGAAACATTCAGGGCTGTGCCTGCTGCATAATCACAGTAGCTCATCATTTAAAATAAAAATGGTTATTCAAGATATTTAAATGAGAGCTGGCTGAAACCAGCTGCAGACAAAACATCAGTGTTTCAAAACAAATGGAAAGCACAACTGGGCCTTTCAAGCAATTTGCTGCTCCAAGCACCCCCTAAGAGTTCTCTTAGCCTGATGTTCATTTTAATCTCAGGAGCATTTTACAGTTTTTCTGAGAAAGAGCATGCAGTATATAACAGAACAGACTTAGAATTGCACATTGCAATTCAATATTCTCTCTAAAACTCAAAATTATGTGAGTATAAAATGCCAGTCATTTGCAGAAGAATGTTAAATTAGGGGCATGTTGGCACAACGGTTAGCATTAGTGCCTTGCAGCATTGGAGCCCTGGGTTCAATTCCTTGGGTGTTACCTGCATGGAGATTGCATGGCCTCCCTGTATTCATACAGGTTTCCTCAGGGTGATCTGATTTCTTCCCACAGGCCAAAAACATACTGGTAGGAAGATTGCACCTGTTGTTAGTTTGTGGCTGTGTCTGCCCTGCAATAAACTGGTATCCCTTCCATGGTGTATCCTGCTTTGTGCCAGGAATGCCTCTGGCTCCCCCACAACCCTGCATTGAATAAAGCGTTTAGAAAATGGATGGCTGTATGATCTTTGTTGTAATCTCAAGAACATATTGTAGTTTTTTTCTAAGACCGACCATGCAGTACATAACACAGCAGACATAGAATTGCATAGCCCATGCTTATCTTTCTGAAGCTCAAAATTAGGAGAGTAAAACAAGGCAAATGAATAGCAGAATAGCCTTAAATTTGCTTGTTGTTCTTTGTTGTTCTGTTGTCCTCCAAATGAAGATCCAGCCACAGTGGCTTTAGAGTCAGAAACGGCCCCGGGTCACAATTAGCTGCAGGAAGACCAAAACAGAAAAAAAAGCAAAACACACAAACAAATACAAAATTAGCTGCTGATACACTTCTGTGTCCCACCAGGGACCCACTCTCTCAATTAGCCTTTCTTCAGGGGTGATACAGTAGGTCTTCACTTGTCATGCTGTGTTGGAGGCAGGCTGACTGTATGTTTGTTGCTTTTGTTTGTTGTTGTGGCGCTGATCTGAGCAGGTGTGTGACAGCGGACGAACAGCGGAGGAGGGAGGGAAGTTGTGGGGGTGTGTGGGGGACATTAGTGGTCTCACGGCAAGTCAGACTGAAGTGGTTCACATGGTATCTACACAAGGAAATAGGCAATAACCCTTTACACAAAAAAGGTCCCTAAGGATAACAGTAATTACAGATACCGTCTCACACTAGGGATGACAATTTATCACAATCGGGATTTTCTAACTGCTTTTTCTGATACAGGGTTGAGGGCGAGCCAGTGCCTATCCCTGCTACCAACGGGCACAAGGCAGGGTGCACCCTGGATGGGACACGAGCCCATCACAAGACACACACAGACATGTACACATTCACTCCAGGGCCAGTTTTTCCAGAAGCTAATTAACCTGCCAGTATATCTTTGGGTTGTGGGAGAAAATCAGGGCACCTGGAGGAAGCCCCTACAAACACGGGGAGAACATACAAGCTCCGCTCAGATAGCATCCCAGGAATCAGACACAGGGCCCCAGCACTGTGAGCTAGCAATATCAACCACTGCACCACCATACCATCTGGGACATTTCTTAATTGTTTTATTTTGAATTGCATTTATTTGGAATAAAGGAAATGGTTGAATTGTGTTTTTCATTGGATCATGCTTCTTGCACATAATTGCATGTAGGAAGGAGAGAAATGTGCAGCATATTTCATACATACAATATAGTTTCCATCAGAGGAAAGGAGTTGATGTCTGCCATTAAGCATCTACTGTAGAACTCTGGGATTTCAGATCTCTGGAAGTTCAGACAACAGGTTTCTGGGATTTGTTTGTCATTAGTTCATCTTTCCCTTGTGCTGATTGGTGTGCGAAACAACCGAGCTGCATTTTGAAACAAGAGGAGCCTTAGTGTTCCTAACATCAGAAAGAATTAGTTTGCCTAGTCTGCGAAAGGCTCTCCTGGTGATAATGAGAAAATGGCTGAGCTGGAAAACCATTCAACAATGAGCTATTTGACAACAGTAAAATCTAAACTTTGACCCCACAATGAAAAAAATGTTATTATCAATATGAATTCTGTCCTCTGGATTTTCACTAGTAGTAGAAGGACACAGCATGGCATTTTGGGATGCAGTTAACACTTTTTCATTAACAAGGGAAGTGTATCTGTACAGCATCCAAACGGTGTTCCAGAAATGTCTTTTCATCTTTCACTACCTGATTGATTTTTCAACACTATAGCAAGCGCAATGAACTGAAGCTTCTCTTTGTTCATGGACTGTTAAGGGAACTGTGAAGTGACATCAATTTGTTACAACAGAGAGAATTAGCTGTTACAGAAAGAGAGATTAGCTGCAGTGAGTTCCTTAATACTCTTCTGTTAAGCATAGTGTAGGTTCTGGTATAAGAGAAACTGTTATTCACCACAAGTGAAATGTTTTTAAGTTAGTGAGAAAAAGATGTTATGTTTGCATGAGTGGCCTGGATTCTTGTGAGCATATGGTCACTTCTAATTTTAAGAGGTGTCTGTGTTCATGCAGTGCAAACCATCCATCCTGTCTACCTGCTAGTGCTGTAAATTGGGTTGGCAGGGTTTATCTGGTTGGTTGAGTGATTCTAGCTGCTTTTGTTTCTGTGGAGAAGAGTGGGAAGCATCAAGACCTGCTGGGGTTTAATGTGACAGTATTAATCCTATTAACAGAATGGCATCTTAATACAGATTATTGTTGGAATAGGGAATGTGGGAAACTTCTGTGCCAGTTCTACAATTCCATTGACTGTGAAATATTAGTCAATAGAAGACATTCTGCCCTGTGTTTTTCTTTTTAATGTACTAGTCAGGAAGAAATAACACAAAGACGCACAAACGCCGCCAACAGTCAGTAGACATCGCTAATAAATAGCTATTGCTGGCACACAGACGGCTTTTAAGATCTATTATATACTGTCTCCTCCTCCTGAGCCCCCACCTCCCCCCCTCCTTCAGCCTCTCTTGTTGCTAAGGCCTGCCTGGCGACCTCGGTATCCAGGATACGGAGAAGAATACTGCTGGCTGATTGGTTGCTGCTGACGAGAAAAAGGAGTAAAAAAAAAAACAGAAAGCAATGCTGGGAGTTAGATGGATGGTTATGCTAGTGCAGCTTAAGCACCCACAGCCACCATTTTTTTCCTTAGTTAGTGCTTTAAAGGGAAAAGAGGGGGAAAAAAGCTGCTATGCATGTCAATTGGATCAGCAAGAATTAGCATCATCTTGTGTGTAAGGTGCTTAGGCAGCAGGAGGAGAGAGAGGCTAAGGGAGAAACAGGGAAACAGAAACAAAGAAGCAGTAAGAGAGCACTAATTCAGCGAGATGCCGAGGCAGATAGACCTTGTCTCCTGACAGCGGCAATAAGAGACAGAACGGGGAGAGAGAGCAGGGGCTGGCACACACACACTCTTCCAGAGGCGCGGCGTGTGGCGGACAGAGGCAAGAGCTGCAGTCGGGGGCAAGCGTTTCCCAGCCCGCGGGGGCCAGCGGCGGAAGGGATGGCTCGCAGCTCCCACAAGGCCCGGCAGCGCTTGGGCCTGGTGAACACTTTCCTGAGGTGCAACCTGAGCCCGGAGACTCAGAAGGTGGTGGTGTTTGTCATCATGATGCTGCTGGTCATCATCAACGTGGTCCTGATGTTCCTGCTGGCATTCCAGTAGGAGCCCAGTACAGAGACGGGGGGAGAGACGGAGAGGCTTAAAAGAAAGACCTCTCTTTGTCTAGATTTGTTTTCATGGATGGGCTTCCGAGATCTGGGAAGTGAAGAGCAGGTAAAGGAATTAGCTGAGCACTGGATCTTGTTTCTGGAAGAATTTTGTGGGTTGCATGCATCAGCTTTAATTTGGTGATTTGTGCTCCTTACCAATATTTCAGGTTGTTGGCTTATGCAGCATCCCGGATGGGTCTAGAACTCTGTAGAAAATTGTAACCTTTGTGTGGGAGGCAGGGAAGGGGGTAGGTGGAGAAGCTATTTGGACTGCAGTTACTGTGACAATTCAAGGAAGGAGTGGGAGGTCGGTCCTGAGCCAGTGTAACTTGCATCTATGCTTAACTAATCAGAATGCACAGGATGCAGATGTAGCTTTGTTAAATCTGCAGTCCTCATACAGGAAAGGTGTTCGTACGAATGTGTGCATTATTTTCTCTTGCTTTGTCAAGCAGTTCTGTCTCTGGTTCCATGGTGCCCCTGAGTTAATGGAAAAGGGAATTCTGCAGAGCTGGGGGCACAGGGGTCTGGGGAGAGGAGAGCAGGGGAAATGAGGGGGGCTTGTGTGGCTGTGTCTGGCTGATTTTAGAGTTAGACTGTCACCTCCCCCCCCCCCCCCCCCCCTGGGACGTTTCACTGAAACACGTGACTCAGAGATGGAACACATGTGCGGCCCCATATCTGACTGCCTCAAGCCCACTCTGCCCGGTAGAGATGAAATAATCAGCATCTGCACAGGGCACAGCAGGACATAATGGCACTGACTCTGATTTTGGCATTGTTTCAAGAACATTCGATCAGATCCGGGATTTTTTACTTTCTTTTTTGCGTTAGTGAGTGCCTAACACAGAATGATTCAATTATTTAAATAGTAAAGCAAATCTATTTGTAATGTAGTGTATTTGTAATTTGTACACATGCCATTATATTTATGTTTATGAAAGTGTTTTATGTGGTTTTAATAAAATTATTCATAATCACGTAACACCTAAAAATGACTCATAAATACATAATAGTGCCATTGTGATAGGTAGTCTTTTGAAAGAAGTGTAAAGACCTGCACTAAATTTACTTTAGCTTTTTGAAACTGTGTGTACTTGAAGCTCATGTGCTGGGCGATTATTACATAATGCTCCTCCACGGGCTCTTGGTAGTGGTGGAGAGGGTCGGTTCTGTGGGTGTGTAGCTAAGCAACAGGCTCCAGTCCTCTTCTCTGCGGTGCAGATGATGGACCAAGGGGAGGTCGTTTCTATCTACACTGCGTTTTTAGGTCCGGGTGAAGAAAGTAAAGCAGGTTTTGGACTTCTGACTGGCCCACATGCCAGAACAGGTCCGAAAAGCCCAGCCTTGACACCCCAGCGGAGACAGGAACGCGTTGCTAATGGACCGTGAGTCTCCCCCAGTGTTGTGTGGTCAGTGTGCGAGGACTGGTTGAGAGTTTCTGGAAAGGTTGTTACACTGGCAGGTTGGGGAGGCTTTCTGCAGTGGCATGAGGGACAGCTTCTATCTTCTTCATGTTGAAATGCATACGTTATGTTTTTTATTCCTCAAGAACAGCCTTGGGCAAAACAAGAACAAAAATTTTGAGCTGAACATCCTTTGCGCATAGAACAAAAGAAACAATAGGTACAGTGTGGTCATTAGTGGCTTGCCAAAAAATTGCGTTCATTTGTATTTTTTGTTTAACTGAAACACGATGATGTGAAGGTTAAAAACTGTTGGGCTGGCAAGAGAATCGTGTTTTTAAAAAAAAGATGTAGTGGCATCAGAACAGCAGAGACAACAAGTAATGTGAGATCAGAGAAACCAACTGAAAGGGTCAGCATCTCTAAGAGACCTGTGGTGACTGTGGTGTCCGGTACAATCGCACTTACAGTATGGAGGCTGTTGAGTGGAGAGTCAGGTAGCTCTGATGATGTGAGACAAGGTTTATTTCTTTTCTGGTCCTAAGGGGATGGTTTAGCATAACATAACAGGTATTAGTTTCTAGAGCTGTGACACTGGTTATGACAGATACAAAAGTCAAATTAAAGAGGGAATGAGGGGATCTAATAATTTGTAGAATATAACATAGTGACTTAAGGAAGAATGTTGTACCATCACTAAGAAATATTACAATAGGTACTCTTGCTGTGTTAAAACAGGATAATACTGTAGCAAAACAAACCACAAGCACAAAAGAGACAAGAATATCTGTTTCTGGTAGCTTGGTTTTGAGCAACATGCAGTGCAGACTGTCTTACAGAAGGCTGATATTTAAAGCATGAATGCAGTAACGTAGGAAAAGTGAACAATTAAACTAATTTTAGAATGTGTGAAGTAGTGAGGAGGCAGCCATCTTGGATCAAGGCCACACCACAGGGCCAGGGTTTCAAGCTAAGATGATGGCTTCCTCACATTGCCACCTCTTACTACTCTTTGTAATTTGCTAATCTCTGTATGTTAGTATGTCTTACATGACCAGCATTCAGCTGGTCCATGTATTTTCTCTGAACCAACTCCTTCTCTCATGGTTCGACTTCCAGGAAGTTACATAAAGGACTAAAAATAGCAAAAACATCTTCATACAGAGGGCTGTGAGTAGCTAGAATGAACGGGCCAGCCTTTAAATAAGGAAGAAGGGACTCAAAAGCCTCTGTGGTTTGTAACTCTTGCTCTCTTCTTTTGTCTGCCCTAGCTGATCAGTGATGGCAGCGTGGTCTATGCAGAGGCACTCTGGGACCACGTCACTATGGACGACCAGGAACTGGGCTTCAAGGCGGGTGATGTCATCGAAGTGGTAGATGCCACAAACAAGGAGTGGTGGTGGGGCAGGATCCTGGACAGCGAGGGCTGGTTTCCAGCAAGCTTCGTACGGGTAGGAACATCCTCTTGTCCTCTGACTCCTGGGCTATCACTACTGCATCTGACACAGTACTGGAATCATGACAGTGCTGTGATGGAGACCATAGGTCTTACAAGCTTTTACCCTGAATTATTAATTTATAATTTTTAATTATACATTTGTACCAGTTCCAAGGGTTTTGAAATTGGTGGTTTAATGGTTAGAACCTGCTCTCCTAGTACCTCCTGTTCTGTAACAAATATCATCATGAAATCATGGGAATATTTTTAATTACTTCAGCTCTTGAAAACGTACTGTAATACTCTGTTGTGCACACTTGTTATATGTTTGCCTTCAACATGAAATATTGCACAGTGCTGAGGCTTCCATCAATCAATTTTTATTACGTATTTTCCTGGTGAGCACCGCTAGAAGTGTAAAATTAATCAAGTTAAAGGAACAAATAATACAGTTCACTAGAACAGTTAAATAACAAGTGGAAACTACCAACCAAATGGGCTTATCTCGTTTATAACCATTCTTATATTCAAATGATATAATTTACCAGATTCAAAATTATTTGATCAAACTTCAAAGCGTGTTATATTTCACATCACGTGTTATATTTCATATATGAAATAATGTTAAAAGAAACTAAAAAAATGAGACAAAGTAACAGTGGAAAAAGCCCTAAGAACTCATTGTTTTCTACACTTCTGTAAATGTGGAGGGGGCAGTTCCCTGAAGTGAGAAACAAGGGGGGGTGCAAGGCCCTGAGGAGTGAGGGGTAGGCTGGTGAGCACGAGCGTGACAGTGCTGGCCGTTGGTTGCTGTACTGCAGCTCCGCGTGAACCAGGATGAGCCCATGGAGGAGTACTTAGCCAAGCTGGAGGACGGCTGTGAGGAGGAGACCGGCGGCGCAGGGAGGGGGCTGGGGCCGGGTCTGCCTAGCAAGGAGCAAATGAGATCCAACGTCATCAACGAGATCATGAGCACGGAGAGGGACTACATCAAGCACCTCAAGGACATCTGCGAGGTCAGGACGCAGGAGCTTCCAAAATAAAATACTAATGTTAATACGAGGGTTTTACTGCACACCACACCTGTGTTTCGTGCAGTAAGGATTCACGCAAAAGCAGAGTTACACCTTGTGAGTGTTGAATGCTAGTGGGTGCAGACAAAGATCTCAGTTGTTCTTATCTCAGTCATAAATGTGTCTCTTCCTGATGTTAATAAGACTATAACATTTATGCAACTGGTTTAAAAATAGGCAGCATTACTGCCAGATAGGCTACAGCTCCCCAGCTCCCATGAATTGGAAAAAGCTGTTAGAAAATGATAGATGGTATAAAAAATACTCTGTTTTGCCCTCTGATAACATGAAGAATACAGCACACAAGAAAAGTTTATCTTCCCTTGTAGGGTCTCGACCCTATAAACCAAGTTCCTCCCACTCTGAGGTCCTGATTCTATGTTTGTTTCTCAGGGCTACATCAAGCAATGCCGGAAGAGGACAGATATGTTCACCGAAGAGCAGCTCCGCACCATCTTTGGCAACATCGAAGAGATTTACAGATTCCAGAAGAGGTTCCTCAAAGGCCTAGAGAAGAAGTTCAACAAGGAGAATCCATACTTGAGTGAAATTGGATCCTGCTTCTTAGAGCATGTGAGCGCAGGGAAAATGTCTTCCATTCCTTTGAAAATACTGATACATGTCCTAATAAAAAGAAAACTGACAATAGCTTTTTTTCACATATTAACATGTTCCAAAACCCTGTCCAGTTAAGTATTGTGTCAACATTAATAGATGCAATAGCACATAGAAATCCATCACATGATGTAAATGCTTGAAAAAGAAAGATTAAATACACAATTTTCAACTTGTCCAGATGTTTCAAGACATAAAGTAATAATCCTTCTGCTGCAGTGCTTTTTCAAACTGCTTTCTCTGCATGTTCCAGCAAACAGATTTCCAGATCTACTCTGAATACTGCAACAACCACCCCAGCGCCTGCCTGCAGCTCTCCAAGCTCATGAAGGTCAACAAGTACGTGTTCTTCTTCGAGGCCTGCCGTCTGCTCCAGAAGATGATTGACATCTCCCTAGATGGCTTCCTCCTCACCCCGGTCCAGAAGATCTGCAAGTACCCCCTGCAGCTGGCTGAGCTGCTCAAGTACACCAACCCCCAGCACAGGTGAGCAGTCTGCCCATCCATTCATCCATCCATGCCTTCATTCATTCATTTCTCCCTTCATTTATTAATTCATTTATTCATCTATCCCTCCATTCATTCATGCATGCATCCCATCATTAATTCATTCCTCCCTCCCCTCATTAATTCATTCATTTATCGATCCATCTTTTCATCCATCCATCTACTGTATGTATCTACTCAGCCATACATTTATTCATCCATTGAAATATTCATTCATGCCTGGCAAGGATCTGATACCAACCTGTTCCTGGACATGTGGTGCACACATATGCAATGAATGAAAACCACATCATCACTGTATTTCTATGAGCCACTAAAAGAACTAACTACTGGCCCTGCTCTGTGTGAAAAAATGTATTATCTAACCAGGACATTTCTTTTCAACTAAAATCTAATAATAATAATTCTTTACACTTACATAGTGCTTCTTTGGACCCTCCACTCAAAGTCTTTTACATTCAATGGGGACTCCCCTCCACCACCAGTGTGTACCCTCCACCTGGATGATGAGACGGCAGCCAAAGTGCGCCAGTATGCTCACCACACACCAGCTTTAAGTATATTGCAAGTGTCATTTGACAAACAAGTTTAGGATGTTACAATAATGAGTTCTATTTTGTAATAATAATAGCATATAGACAGTGCTTTTCATCTTAAAGTATTTTTACATGAAGAAGGGAACATACTTCATGTTCTCACTTCACACTTCACACTTCACGTGGGTGATGCACAGCAGCTATCATGTACTTGAAGCTCCACTACTGAGCAAATCAGATGGAAAAGTGCGTATTTGCTTCCCTATCTGAGTTATGGGGGAACATAAACCAGTACACTGCAGTTAACACCCCTGCTCTTATGAACAGAGCCATAGGCAGAGCGCCACCATGTCGGAACTATTTTACCCAAAATCATTTCATCAGCTGAAAGCCTCCTACAGGCAAGAGCAAATGCACATCTTGTTTCTTGCGTTTCTGTAACTAGGTCTGCACAAGCTACCAGTGTGCCACACATCATGCTAGTGACTGCACAGTCCCACAGCACACACCTGGACATTCGGGCACTGAGCAGGACAGAGAAAGAGGAACCAAACAGCTTGATTTTAATAGTCTACTAGTCAGGACTTGCAATGTCTCATGTAAAAGACAGCACAGTGTTTCTGGTCCCCAGACTTTGGCACTGGTTTGGAAGAGCGCCACCATGTCGGAACTATTTTACCTAAAATCATTTCATCAGCTGAAAGCCTCCTACAGGCAAGAGCAAATGCACATCTTGTTTCTTGCGTTTCTGTAACTAGGTCTGCACAAGCTACCAGCGTGCCACACATCATGCTAATGACTGCACAGTCCCACAGCACACACCTGGACATTCGGGCACTGAGCAGGACAGAAAAATAGGAACCAAACAGCTTGATTTTCTTTCTGTTGGGCTGCAGGGACTACAAAGACGTGGAAGCTGCCTTAAACGCCATGAAAAATGTTGCCCGGCTGATAAACGAGAGGAAACGCCGCCTTGAAAACATCGACAAGATCGCACAGTGGCAGAGCTCCATAGAGGACTGGGAGGTACAGGCACCACGCCCTCTGGAACACCCCAGTTTACAGACCAGGGACTGGCAACTGCAGTCCTCAAAAGCTACACGGACTCACCCACCTCTGATCTTCAGTGCATAATTGAGCTAAAGACTTGTATAAAAACCATCTGTACAACTGTCGAGGTTTGTCCCTCAAGGACTGAAGTTGCCAATTCCTTTTGTAGAATATCTTCTTGACCTGATACTGGAGATGTAAGAAGATTCTTAAGAAAATGTTAGCCATCTTTCTCCATAGTTTCCTCATACACAATGAAAGTGTGAAAGGTTTTTCCTGGAAATGTATGTGCTTGTGTGGTCATGTGAGCCCCATGTGCATTCCATAAAAAAGGAAGAAGTGATCTTGTCTTTTCCCTGTATAAATTCAGTTGGTACTAATTGCTTTATTGACCATTAATTGCTCAATTGATCCTGTTGATGAAGATGGTTTCCAGAATTAAGAGGCAGAAGGGCCAAGAAGCCAGCTTCTACTCTACAATGTCTATGCCCTTTCTCACTCCGCACCAGATCATTATATATTCCTGGTTCTCCTTCTCTCCAGGGTGAAGATGTTCTCAGCAGGAGCTCAGAGCTCATCTTCTCTGGGGAGATGACCAAAATTTCCCAGCCACAGGCCAAGAGCCAGCAGCGCATGTTCTTCCTGTTTGACCATCAGATGGTGTACTGCAAGAAGGTGAGGACGACAAGAGACAAATAACACCATCTTTCTGAGTTCTGCTTGTTTCAATCAAGTACAGCCACACAATCTTCAAAGGGGCTCTGCTGAACGATTGCTTGTACATGAAAGCAGTCTTGTGTGTAGTATACTTTATTGTCCATCCATCCATTTTCTAACCTCATTACAATACAGGGCCACAGGGGAGCCGATTCCTTCAAGTAAGGGGTGCAAGTGTAAGGAATACGCCCCTGCGTATAACAGGGATCTCAGCTGCCTGGGCTGAGGGAGTTCTCCTTTAGCTCAGCTGACAAGTTCCCTGTTGCGTGATGCCGGAGACCCGGCCAGGGTCTGCACCCAGGCAGTGAGGGGCAAACCGGCAGGGCAGGAGCTGCAAGGGAGGGTACACCCTGAACAGGACACCAGACACCGCTGGGCAGATAGACACAAACACACACAGTCTCAAAAGGGACAATTTTACATAAGCCAATTAACCTACAAGTGTGTCTCTGGGCTGTGGAAAGCACCAAGAGAAAACCCAAGTGAACATGAGGAGAACGTACACACCTACAAATTGAACCCAGGCTCCCAGAATTGCAAGGCAACAGTGCTTTTGGAATCCTAAAGTCAACTTCAAATGAATAGTAAGTCCAATCTTACTTTTCGACTCTGCATTCATGCCACATTGTTCTATGGATCTGAAGAGAATACTGCTGAATACTGGACAGTAGACTGTTGCCAATGCAGGCATGCTTAACTTTAATACACAAATACAGGAGATCTGGACATTTCTAAGATATTTAACATAAAATCTGATCTGTGTGTGTGAAAGGGTTATTCCAAATTTGTTGTTTCCAAGGAAACAGATGTCTGTCAAATGTGACATTTTGGAATAACTGAATGGCAGGGGTAACCAAAAACAGCCATTGTGTCATGTGTAGAAATCTTTGTATGAGTTTAAATGCATATGCAATGATACCTCCTAAACACCCATTTATGGTAACAGTAGAGACTGACCGGGTTGTACTCAGATTTTAAAAACCCTTTGAGAATTATTAAATGCTGAGCATTACAGGAAGATGTGCACTGTATGCATTCTTGTCTATTCTACAGAAAATGGCTGATTAAAACTCATTTCAAACCTTTGCTGAACTGTACTCTGACTTTTTGCAACCCCACATAAAAAAAACACTCTGTTGCATTTCCGTTACTTAAGAAAATGTTTTATTCCACTGAGTAAAAGAGACTTCAAGATGTTAAACTATCTTAAGAGCCAATGTTTCATTAAGGTATGCTACTAAGTATTATTTTATACTATTAATGCAGCAATTGACTCTCCTCCTACATAAACTCACTGAAAATTAAATATATTTAAAGTACAAAAGCAAAGCCAAGCAAAATGTTTGCTATAAACGAAAAAGGTATGCACTTTCTGAAGCTTAAAAAAGACATGTAGTAGCAGGGAAGTGTTTTAAAAAGTCTTGAGAAGGTTTCTTTTAAAAATACTCTAGGCATGAATTTTATTTTATGGGAAAATGTACTGTACATATGTACATCAGCTTTGTACATATCTGATGGTGTCAATATATTTGTTTAAAGCCACCTATTGGGGTGAAAATCAGACATACCTGTCTTAACTGATTAATTGGTATTCATTGTGAAGGAAAATCGCAGGTGGGAAAGAGAATGTGTGATTGGCTTGGTGTTTAATTCGCCACTTGGATTATGGATTATACACTAAATCTGGTGTACCGTATATATTAACAGCCCGGAGAATAAAGGCTGATATCTGAATCTTAGCTATTACAGGAGTGGAAGAGAGTGAGAGCTCATTAATATAGAGAGTCTAGATAGCACTAGTGTGGTCTTTTGGCTTTTGTGCTTCATCACCACAACATTGTTCCTTTTTTTAATTCTGAAAAAAGTAGGAGTTTGAGATCTGAGTTATAATTTAAGATTTTAAATGCATTTTGGGTCTGGCAACGGTTAACTGCTACAAAATGAGAATAGTGCTGGAGGTATCAACAGTATTATAAGATATTTTTGGAGATGTACGATAACACACTCCTCCTAAAGTACACTTCTGTTATTGCAGCTGCCACTGAGGTCTTCAACAAATCCTGTTTTGGCTTAGATTCCCATTTTCCTATTTAGTCCCATACTTTGCTCTTAAAGAAGAACAGGCCGTTTGCGCACAGATTTCACATCCTTGCAGACTCTTGTCTTGAGTACACAGTTAAACTGCCTGATTATATTGATTGCGTCAATGCCTTTGTGATACCCGGAAATGCAAGAGATGTATACTAGACGCTTTTTACACGGTAGTTAAATTCCTGACATAGCGCGTATATCCCAAATTGCATATAATCAGAATACCCCTCTCTTAAACAATTAAAATCAATCATAAGTTTATTAGTATCTGTATGTACGTAGTTTAAAGTATTATGATAACAGTAATACAGCAAATACAGTACTGTACAGTATACAAAATATATCAAATCAAATTTAATCATAATATAATACAGGGAACATTCACCATAATCTCCTAGTGATGATAAATATGAAAGGAATATACAGCCGATGTCGATGAACTTTGTTTTTGGTTTATGGGCCATATTGAGGGTGATGTTGCATGATAAAGAAAGCACCAGCGTGTTATAGGCTCTCTAACTAGTTCCTAAAGCGTAGTTCAGGTGCGTACTGCGCCAGATTTGAATTTGTGAAACTTCCTGCATTATTTTAGATTGAATTTTTTTCTTCACCATCCGAGTATACAAGAATGGCGTAAAAAGATTTCACATAAAACACAAGTCTACTACTGTATGTGTGTCCCCGGCCCTAGGACCTGCTGCGTCGCGACATGCTCTACTACAAGGGAAGGATCGACATGGACCACATGGAGGTGGTGGACCTGGAAGATGGGAAGGACAAGGACTTCAACGTCGGCGTGAAGAACGCCTTCAAGCTGCGCAGCCCCAGCGGCGAGGAGGTCCACCTGCTTTGTGCCAAGAAGCCCGAACAGAAGCAACGGTGGCTCCGCGCCTTCGCCGACGAGAGGCGGCAGGTGCAGCATGACCGCGAAACAGGTGAGAGGCTTCCCGCGAGCCAGCACTCCCTGCATCCCCCTGTGGTCCAGTTCTCCAGTCTGGGAAGATCCAGATGGAGACCTCTTTTCCGCTTGGCTACCATCTCCTCCTTTTCGTTCCACACCTGCACTGCAGGAAAAAGATTTACAATCCTTCCCCA